GAGAGAGAGAGAGAGAGAGAGAGAGAGAGAGAGAGAGGGCCCACTTTTATATTTAATAATAATAATAATATTAAAAAGTGAAAGAAAAATGAAAAATAAATTCATTAATTAAGGGTATAATAGTCTTTTTAGTTTGGAGAGGGACCAAAAATACAAGCAAAGTAGTTCAAAAGGACCACAACCAAAAAAAAAAAATCGGGTTTAGACTAAAAAAAAAAAAAAAAAATGCATACACAACTACCATTTTTGCAATTTTGTCTAGAAATAATAAAGGAAAAGTGTCAAAACGAGCCCTTGAATGCTTCAAAACCTCAAGAATCCATGTTGTCCCACTGAAAAACCCTGCTTGGCTTTAGAATCACGAGCACCTAACCCTAGTCATGATCGCCAAACTTGATAGAATCGGGGAAAGCTTCACCGACTGATCGGAAAAGCTACATACATTTTCCTGTTAATCTAGGTATTATTTTCTTTTCTTCGAAACTTTTTTCGATCATCGACTGTCGTACTTCTTATGTTTTAGAAAGATAATTATATTCTTTGTTCCTCGCGTATTCCTCCAGCTACTTTTAAATATGAGTAGTTGTCGTTGTTTTTCCCCTTTTCGTAAATCGTTTTGATTTTCATGGAACATCCTGCAGCAAATTCAATACTTGCATGCGATTCATTCTGATACGTGGTTATCATTATTTGTGTATTGTTCGAACTTGAAATTGTGAAGATAAGGGTTGTTTGCCTTTTGGGTTCATTCAATATTGTTTGCTTTAGTTGTCGCGACTATGTTGTATTTGTAGAAATTTCACCAAATGCATCTAAACTCGTATTCGATGAAATTAAATGTGAAGCATGGCTCCGATTACCTTGGGCTGTACTGATTAGAGTAGCAAAAAATTGTTAATTGCTTCATTGACTGTTTGCTTGCCCTTGTTTGTGCTTTTAGTTTTGGACAAAACTCGGGATTTGAGTATATGTTAAGGCTTTAAACCACAAATATATTGTAGAAGGGCTGAAGCATTAACTTTTCATTGTTCTCTGTTTCAGCATTGGGCATATTTGGTAGTGAAGAGGTTTTGAAAGAAGCTGTATGTATTGATACCAATGGACACATATTGTAACAATAACGGTGTCATGGAATCAAAATTAACACCAGATCTAAGTGAAGAATTCCTAGAGGATTTCTGTAAAAAAGCATCAAGATCCTTTTTCAAACAGCATGGTCTTATAAGCCACCAGATCAACTCTTACAATGAATTCCTCAAAACTGGAATTCAAAACGTCTTTGATTCATTAGGTGAGTTCAATGTTGAGCCTGGATACGACCCATCTGGAAATGAAACCATAAGGAGATGTGCTTCAGTCAAAGTTGGAAAAGTCAACCTAGATAGACCAATGTTTTGGGCAGGTGATAGCTTCTCAACAGAAACTGGTAAAGGATACTTAATCCTCTTACCCAAACATGCCCGCCTTCAAAACATTACTTATTCATCCAGGATGAGTGTTCATATTCAATTTCAGGTTAGTAATAGTAAACCTTTGTGTTTTCCTTCAGTTTCTCTTATTTCAAGTCATTTCTAGCTTTGTGATCTGTAAGTAACAAACATTTTAGGTATATACTGAAGAGCTGGTTAAAATCGACACTTTAGAAGCTGGAAAAGAGCTTATTGAAAAGAAGGTTTCATTAGATGATAGTAGAGAAATCACAATTGGCAGATTGCCTGTTATGGTCAAATCTGACTTGTGCTGGATGAATGAAATGGAGAAAGGAGACTGTGAGTTTGACTATGGAGGATATTTCTTAATCAAAGGAGCTGAAAAGGTAACAATATTACCATTTACCCCCTCATTTTATGTTCTCAAGTAAAAATTAGTTTGAAAATGGTTTATATCTACTTCTTGGATCATACATCTTATTGCAGACTTTTATTGCACAAGAGAAAACTTGTCTGAAGAGACTTTGGTTGGTCAACAGTCCAATCTGGACAGTCAAATACCGGTCAGTTTCTGGAAGGGAAAGGGTTTATGTAAAGCTTGTGGACACTCATATTAGAGGGGGCGGAAAGGTCATTACTGTGTATTTGTTTAACTCAGTAGAGATTCCTGTATGGATGCTATTCTTTGCTCTTGGTGTCACCTCAGACAAAGAAGTCATTGATTTAATTGATGCTGATGCTAATGACAACACTATCATGAACACACTTCTTGCATCAATCTATGATGCTGATCAAAAGTCAAAGGACTTTAGGAAAGAGGGGAAAGCTTTAAGTAATCTTTCATATGCACTCAAGCAAAAATGGACCTATGCACCTAAAGGAACATTCAAAAACTGCATAGAAGAGTTATTATTTCCAAATCTTCATGGGTTCAACCGAAAAGCTAGGTTTCTTGGGTACATGGTGAAATGTCTTCTAGAAGCTTATACGGGTCGTAGGAAAGTTGATGATAGAGATAGTTTTAGAAGCAAAAGGGTAGAATTAGCAGGAGAGTTACTTGAGAGAGAACTTAGAGTTCATTTAAAACATGCTGCTAGAAGAATGGTGAAGGCTTTGCAAAGAGACCTTTGGGGAGATCGGCCTTTACACCCAATTGAGCATTATTTGGATGCTTCGGTTGTTACTAATGGGCTTTCAAGGGCATTTTCGACCGGTGCGTGGGTCCATCCTTATAAACGGATGGAAAGAATTTCGGGTGTGGTGGCCCACCTTAGAAGGGCAAATCCTCTACAGATGATGGCTGATATGAGGAGGACACGTCAGCAGGTTCAGTATACAGGGAGAGTTGGAGATGCTAGATATCCGTAAGTAGTTAATAGTAATATTTTTATTTTTTTTTTATTACTTTTTGGTTTTATAAGTTAATTGTCTAAGTTTTTCAGGCATCCATCACATTGGGGGAAAATCTGTTTTATGACAACCCCAGATGGAGAGAACTGTGGGTTGGTGAAGAATTTGTCTAGTGCTGGTATTGTGAGCACAAATGTCCAAGAAAATCTGGTTGGTATATTAATGGAGTCTGGAATGAAAGAATTGGTTGATGACACGTCACCATTATTTGGTGGAAAACACAAAGTTTTTGTCAATGGAGATTGGGTTGGAATTTGTGATGATTCTGCTTCACTTGTTGATGATTTCAGAAGCAAAAGGCGCAGAAAGGAAGTTCCTTATCAGGTGGAGATAAAACGAGATGAGAAGAATAAAGAAGTGCGTATATTCTCGGATGCAGGAAGGCTCATGCGACCTCTTTTATGTGTTGAGAATTTAAAAAACATTAAATCTTTGAAAACCGGAGATTATTCATTCCAAAGTCTTGTAAACAACGGAATCATCGAGCTCATTGGAACCGAAGAGGAAGAAGATTGCTACACAGCATGGGGAGTTAAACACCTTTTTCAAAAAACTTCACCTCTTTACACACATTGTGAACTCGACATGTCATTTCTCTTAAGTTTAAGCTGTGGAATAATCCCATTTGCAAATCACGACCACGCTAAACGTGTCCTTTTTCAATCTCAAAAACATTCCCAACAAGCAATCGGATATTCAACCACAAATCCAAACATTCGAGTCGATACCCTTTCACATCAACTATTTTACCCTCAAAAGCCGCTTTTTCGCACGATTCTTTCCGATTCTCTTGCAACACAGAAACACGGGAATAATATTAATGGCAATGAATATTACAATGGACAATGTGCGATTGTTGCTGTGAATATCCACTTGGGATATAACCAAGAGGACTCATTGGTGATGAATCGTGCTTCTTTAGAACGCGGGATGTTTAGATCAGAACATGTTAGGAGTTACAAAGCTGATGTGTCTAATAAGGAATCGTGTGGGAGTGGGAAGAAGGGAAGGTTTGATGATGATATAATATTTGGGAAAATTCAAAGTAAAATTGGACGTGTTGAGAATCTTGATGAAGATGGGTTTCCGTTTGTTGGTGCTAGATTGAACAGTGGTGATATTGTTATAGGAAAGTATGCAGAATCAGGAGGTGATCATAGTATTAAATTGAAGCATGGTGAAAGAGGATCAGTGCAGAAAGTTGTTTTGTCTGCTAATGATGATGGGAAAAACTTTGCTACTGTATCCTTGAGACAGGTAAAAATACCATAAAATAGCAACATACTTATATTTCTTAAAAAAACCTCATAAATGTATCTGTTTCATAATTTCTCGATTTTATCAGGTACGCACTCCAAGTCTTGGTGACAAATTCTCAAGTATGCATGGGCAAAAGGGCGTTTTGGGGTTTTTGGAGTCGCAAGAAAACTTTCCTTTTACAATAGAAGGAATAGTCCCAGATATTGTAATAAACCCACACGCCTTTCCTTCTCGACAAACGCCAGGTCAGCTTCTGGAGGCTGCGTTAGGCAAAGGGATCGCCATGGGTGGCCCACTAAAATACGCGACCCCTTTCTCCACTCTCTCAGTTGACGCCATAACTAATCAGCTTCACAGGTAAATAAAATAAACAATTAGTTTAATTTATCCAGTCATCACTTAATGTCTTAATCCATTCAGCGCAAGTGATTGATTGATTGATTTTTTCAGGTGTGGATTTTCAAGATGGGGAAACGAGAGAGTTTACAACGGGCGAACAGGGGAAATGGTGGAGTCGTTAGTGTTCATGGGTCCCACGTTTTACCAAAAGCTGGTCCACATGTCGGAAGACAAGGTGAAGTTCCGGAACGTGGGGCCGGTCCACCCGCTGACACGTCAGCCGGTGGCGGACAGGAAGCGGTTCGGTGGGGTGAAGTTTGGGGAGATGGAAAGGGACTGCATCATAGCGCATGGAGCAACTGCTAATTTGTATGAGAGGCTTTACACGCTGTGTGATGCTTCACATATGCATATTTGTAGGAAATGTAATAATATGGCGAGTGTGATTCAGAGGTCGGTCCCACGTGGGCCCAAGATCCGTGGGCCGTATTGTCGGGTTTGTGAGTCGGTTGAGGATGTTGTGAAGGTGAATGTGCCGTATGGGGCCAAGTTGCTTTGGCAGGAGCTTTTTAGTATGGGAATTGGTATTGAGTTTGAATCTGAGCCTTGCTGAAAGAAAGATATTTTGTATTGTATGAATTAGGGCATGTATGTATGTAAGTGAAATATGGTAACTACTCATTTTGGTGACCTAATGTAATGCTATGTTTAATGCTTTTTAATTGTTTCTCTTCCTTCATTTGTTACTTGTGGGCAATAGCATGAAAAAAAGTTTAAAAAAGGAAATTTTGTCTAAATAGTAGAAGCATTGTTTATACATAAATTGTATTATTATTTATATCAAATGGAAAATTGTTTACAAGTTTTCAATTTTAAACATTTCTTAAATCAAGTCATTCATTAGTCAACATTATTTTTAAAAAAGAGAAAAAAATTGAAATTTTTCTTAATCACCTTTGATAAAATTACCTAAAATTATGAAAATTCCAAATTTAACAAGCAAAACCAAAGGTGAGTAGGTCTTGCCTTTAATCTCCGGCTGCAGAATCATGAAGTGGGGGTTATCTACAGAAAAGTCCCAAACTTTTTTTAAAAGTTTCAATAAAGTCCTAAAAGTTTTTTTTTGAACAGAAAAGTCCCAATATTTGGATTTTTTTTGCCTAAATTAACGAAAAAGTCCTTTTTTTTATATTTGAACAGCAAATAATAGATTATATGATTTTTTCAAAATATTGAGACTTTACTGTTAAAAAAAAAAACTTTTAGGACTTTATTGAAACTTTTGAAAAAAGTTTGGGACTTTTCTAAGTGGCTATAAAGATGCTTCATTCTTTTTGGTCGAACTGAATACCCAAGTTCACATGATATATAGTTTCCATGGGACTCTTTCTGTACTATTTCCTATTTTCCTAATTCAAAGTTAGCTGCTCAATTATATTTATACCCTTCGACAAAACACATCTTACCAACCAAAAAACAAAACAAAAAGCAGAATACAGATATGAGCAATGATCAAATTTCAAGTCAAGAACTGTATTAACAAAATAGACCTTTATACATTCATTGTAATTGCAAAATCAATAGGATTCACATCTGGTCATCTCCGAGATTAAGAGTTTTACTTTCACCAAGGAGAAGGTCTGAAGAAGACTAACATACGACACTCTTATCATTTCATCTAAAATCTTGTTTGTACAAAGCTGTTTCCACTTTCCATGGTCAGCATATCACTCACTAATCAGTACAAGCTGCAAAAACGAACTTACATGGGTCAGATCCGAATATCATATCACTTATGATGTAATTTAATAAGCTTTAACAGGATCTAAATCATCACCAACCATTTATAGCTCATCAATATACAAAATTAATGCAGTTGGTATTCTAGCGCAATCAAAATTTACGTTTCTTTATGATTTCAAAGACCGGTTGATTTCTAACAGAAAAAACAGAAATCAATCTCTATCAATATGATCTTATTCAGAAAGTGACAAATCGGCATAGAACCCCTTTGCTCCTACTCTAAATTCAAAGAACCAACGCCGACATGACATAGGCTTGGTCGTAAAACGAGTTTGCAACTTTATTTATTCATCACAAAAAGCTCGAATTCTAATGGAAAAAAGCACAAAGCACACGGGAGTAAATTTGGATTTACCTCCACAGCAGTAACAGCAAGAGAAGATGATAAGAAGATCCCTGAGAACAGCACCACAAGCACGAGAACAATCCATACTATTTCGATTCTGACTACTGGTACCATCACTCAACAATTTCTCCTCGTTGCTGCTCCCCGAAGATTGATTCTTGTTATTTTTCTCACTTTTCATCCTCCGTAAGTTCCATTCAAGATTATTCAAGTACTCTAACTTGAACGAAGCCCTCAATGTCTTCGATGGCCATAGATGCATCTCTCTATCTCGTAGAAACCAAGAAAATGAAATAAAATTGAATAGATGTTTATGATTTTAGGGTTTTATTTTGTTTATTGGGAATTTTGAAAAACTGGAGCAAACAAATGAATAATTTGTTCGTTTGTTCCCTTATGTTTGAAATTTTCTCTTTTTTACCATATGAGGTGGTGTACTCTAAGTCGATGGTTCAACAAGTCTCCTCGTCCATAAATGAAATTAGATGTTAATTTCAGAGTAGATTATATATTTATATTTGACGGTTCAAAAAAAAAAATCATGTCATTTATCTATCGATATTCATTAAGCATCCATCAATCCATCTTTATTCATTGACAAAATGAGTAAATTATAATTTTTTTTGGATTGTGTTATAATACTTTATGAAATATGATATCCGACTTTATATTTGGAGTTACACGAATTCTGATTGTGGTATAATCCAAAAAAAAAAAAAATTACAGTCCTAATTCGAATCTCAAATAAAGAATACTTGTTATTTTTGGTGTTCTTGTGAGACGAAAATCAAAAAAAATAAAAAGAGAAATTTCATCAAAAGACCAAAAGAAAGGGGGTTCTGCGGAAGCCTTTTACCTTCTGTGTTTGAACATTTTGACCATGGAAATTTGAGTTTTATAGAATGACCCACAGATCCCCAGAGAGGGTTCTACGGAAGGCTTTTACCTTATGAGAAACGTGAATAGTAACGAGGAATTGAGGTGACAAAGGAAAAAGACAAAAAAAAAACGGTTTGTTGCATACTTCCGTAGAGGGGGCTCTGCGGAAAGGTTGTTGAGGCTCTGCGGATCTGTTCTTCATCAACACACCTCTGAGGAACTATTCTTCGGCTAACCATGACAAAAATCAAGATCGCCTCACCATCCTCATGTTTTGCCCTTCGTCGACATCTCTTCTTCGTCTTCTTCCCTTCGTTGCACAACAAAGCCCCAACCTCCCTTCCAAAAATTCGTCACTTCCGCAACCAACAAAGTGAGAACCGACTTTTTTTTGGTGTGATTTTACAATTTTACCCCTTCCACCTCATTTCCGCAGAATTATTCACTTTCCTCAGAAGGATTAAGCATTCCGCAGAGCACCCTCTGCGGAAGTGATGGTCATTTACCAAAATCGATTTTTTTATGGTCAAAATCTTCAAACCTTCATTCCGTTTGGTTATTTGACGAATTTTCTCAAATAACGATATTGATTTTCTTAATAGATAAGAGACACCTTTTGAATCCTATTTTCAAACTATTACCCTCAACTCCATATGGGAAAACACATTTTCAAATGCTTTGATAGGTTAGGCCAAAAGCCCTTTAGTACTTCATGACATAGAATAAAAAGATTGTTTTGTCTTTTTATCAAAGGTTGTTTCGTCTCTTTATCTTGCATGATTCCCATTCCCAAACCCAATCCTTGCAAAACTAAGGGACCTTTTTGCAATGCAATAGTCGCTTCTTTTAAAGAAAGCAATAAAAGTGTTGCATACAAAAGCTTCCCTCCACAATCCGTGTAGGAGCAAGTGCCATTTAACATGTCAATAGATATAGAAGAATGTCTCGACTCGCATCTTATTTTATTTTAAAGATACAAAATAACTATATATGGTCGTAATTTTTGTTGGTGATTTGTTATCATCAATGTTATTTAAGTGTAATGAGATTACTTTGTTGACTAAAAATGATCTTGATAA